AAAATATAGAATTTTAAGAAAAAGTATAATGTAATGGTATAATGGGTATTTTATATTAAAATATAGAATTTTAAGAAAAAGTATAATGTAATAGTATAATAGGTATTTTATATTAAAAGGGTATGACATTAATTATTTAAGATATAATAATAACTCCACCCCTATCATTAAATTTGATGTAGTGTGAAAGGGAGTATTTGAACTGGTTCCAATCCAATTCTGATTTAGTTCAAAGGTTTAAAAGGTAAAGTTATATAGTTTATAAGTGTGAACAAATGTGAACATATAATGTGAACAAATGTGAACACATAATGTGAACACAAAAATGACTTTTTGGTTTTGCTTTAATATATCTTTAGATTTTTTTAAAAGTTTGTTTAATTTATATTTTAAGAATATAAATTAAAAATATATTAAATATATTTTTTATTATAAATTTATATTAAAAATTAAAAATTAATTTTAATTTATTAATTATCTAATTAAATTTATCTAATATTAAAGTTAATATCAATTTTTATATTTTTTAAGTACATTTATAATAAAAAATACTCCTTACTTGTGTTTTAAAAAAAGTTTTTTTTAATATGTTTAAAGAAGTATGTATTATATTTTTTATTAATTTATATAAAAAGTTATAAAATATTTAATTAAATAATTAACAAAATTAAAATTAATTTTTATTTTTTATATAAATTAATAAAAAAATATAATAAATACACCTTTAAAAAGTTTTAAAAAATTAACTTTACTTGTACATCAACTTAGATATATAACAACATATCCATAGTTAAACTTATCTACTTACCTTATAAATAAAAATATTAATAAGTAGTTATACCAAGTAATTGGATTCATTGGATCATCTTACTATATATGGTTTTTGTCTAAAATATCATCTTTAAAAAAAATACTTTCACCTTTAGGCAAAAACTAAGACCCTATGTCTTTGAAGTTGTGGGTTCTACTCTCATATAGAAAAATCCTTTTCTGAATTCTTTTTCTAAATTTTGTCCCATATTTTAGTTAAAATAGCACCCTAACTGGCAGCAAAGAAAGAAACCAACTTTTTATGTGTATCTTTGTTCAGTCCAAACTTCAATGCAAATCTTTGCATAGTAGTTAAAGGGAATTATATTTTAATTATTTGTAATTTAAGCATAGTATATAAAAGGATTTAAAATTTTAAAATATACATACAATATATTTATAATTTGAGGTGGATGTATATAAAGTTACATAAAATTGTTTAAATTTTTTTTTCATGCTTTTAAGTTATATATTTTTTAAAAAATTTAAGTTATTATTTTTACAAAGTGCAAATCTTAAGTGTTTATAACTACATTTTAATTTCTTCGACTCTTTATTTATATATATACAAAACCACAAATATATTATGTGTATATATTAAAATCTCAAGTTTTTATATATAATTATATTAAATTATAAATAACTAAATCGCAATTTTTTCCAAAACTAAACAAATGGAGAAAATTAGCAGGGCTCATTCACACCTGCTCCCCAAAGGAGGTGTGCCCTCAAGGTTGAGTGTTCGATCAAATCCTTGGGGCTTCACCACTCCCTTGTCCCCTTCCCTATCCCTTCTTCTGTTTTCAAGAAAAATAAAAATTTGTCTTGTTTCAAAAAGGGAAAAAAAATTTAATAAAAATAGTGAAGAAAATGAAAGGAAGAAAGATGAAGGGAAGAGTAGAACACACGCGACAAACACGGGAGAGATTCTGAGTAGTGATTTTCTGAGAGATATGAGGAAGTGAAGTGAAGTGAAAGTGAAATGGGTATTTTCTGTTTTTTCTTGGATTGCATTGCATTTGCGCATTGCCATTGATTCAAAAGTTTCACGTGACTTTCTTTGTAAATTGAAATAAAAATGGTGAAAACTCACTTTCTTTTTTCCTTTCTTTCTTTCTTTCTTTCTTTCTTTTCCCTTTCCACTCTTGTGAAATCAAAGACAAGAAAAGAAAAGAAAAGATATGATGGACACCCCATCTGCCCATCTCATCCAGAAAACAGTGCTCCAACTCTCTCTCTCTCTCTTGGTTTTGTAAAGGCTTTTTTTTTGTTTTTTGTTTTTTTTTTTTCCTCAGTGCTGTTTGGATGGCAAGAAAATTGAAGGGGGAATCTTTTGGGAGAGGAGGAAAAGGCAGCGTGGCGGATACGGGCAATTGAGTTTGAGATCCAAAACCCAATACCCCACAAGTTACGGCAACATTAATCAGTGTTTTATGTTTCCATAAATCTAATCAATATAAACATGTTCTTCATGGTGAGTTTGTTATACCAAATCTTTACTTCATAATTTGAATTATAATAGAATAGAAATCATATACTATTAAATGAGAGGTTAGTTTTTAATATTGGAGATTTATTTTTTATTTAATAATTTAAATTGTATAATAATTTAATTTTTTATAAACAAATAAAGTTATATGGTTGTGGTTATTACTACATAAAAAATATGTAAATAAAAATATTAATTTTGTATTTTTTTATTTAAAAATATTAGTTTTGTTAATTTTTAAATAAAGATGTTAATTTTTATTTTTTTATTTAAATATATTAA